GTCCTGCAGAAATATCATGAAACCATGGCTTGTTTTCTTTAACTGAGTATTTACATATGAGTACCCTAATTGTGGTTAAGGGTTTTAACCATGCTTCAACAAAGAAGAAAGTGTTTTTTAAAGAAAGAAAAGTTATTCAACAAGTGACATGTAGCTCTATGGTACATATTACATGGCATGATTCAATCCATCAGATGTACTGCTAAAGACTGTTTGCAAGTGGTCTTTTCTCAAAAAATTCTCAAGAAGCTGAACTTCAAGCCTACCCAGTTGTGAATCTGGATTTCCTAAAGGGGCAGGAGGGTGGAGTCTAGTGTTTTTCCAGATTATTAAATGTCTATGATATCAGAGAAGAGAGCTGCATCTGGGCAAAAAGTACAATTCAGAAGATTGCAGAGATAACAGGCGTTCAGCCTTCTAGTCCACAGAACAAAATTTTATACACCTGAATTTGGTTGAGAAAATAGCAGAACCACACACCCGCTTGATGTGGAGCCTCTCTGGTTCAGACTTCGCAAAGCAAAGCCGTGTGGCATAGACAATAAGTCCAGGGATGCGCAGAAGCTCCATGGCTGTCCCAATCAGGCTGGAGGTGATGACATAGTTGACAAAGAAGGCACCATTATCGGGGAGGAAAACACACCTATCCAGAAAAAGATCAATGAGGGATGAGAAGAGAAACAGAGAAAAGACGCTTTGAGAACACTTGACAGTACTTGGGCATTTCCAGAGATTTTTGTAGAGTTAAGGTTGTATAAATGTCCCACATGTATGGATGTGCTTTACGTACAAGCAAAAAACCAATCCTATTATCCAGTGTTCAAACTGGGTCATCCATCTTACTCACACACATCCCAGGTTCAACCATACTCACTGAAACTTTATCTCTGCCCGATCCACAAAATGGGTGTCAAATAGCCATCGGAAAAAAAGATCCAAGCTACAGGGGGAAGAACGAGAACAGGAATGGATTATACACCTATGGTTCTACAACAAAATAAAGTACAGTGGAGTCCCGCTTGACGTTAATCCGTTCCGTTAAAATCGCTGTTAAGCGATATCGTCGTCAAGTGAAAGAAAAAAACCCATTGAAATGCATTGAAAACCGGTTCAATGCGTTCCAATGGGCGAAATACCTCATCGTCCAGCGAAGATCCTCCATAGGGGAAGCCATTTTCAATCGCTGTCTTCCGGAAATAGGTCCGGAAAACAGTGGGTGGCCATTTTGAAAACCCAACGATCAGCTGTTTTTGATCGTCAGGAAGTGAAAAATCAGTTCCCAAAGCAGGGAACCGATCGCCGTGAAGCGGATTTTCCCCATTGAAACATCATTTTGCGATCGCAATAGCGATTGCAAAAAACTCATCGTGAAGCGATTTTGTCATCTACTGGGATAATCGTCAAGCGGGGCACCACTGTAAACCTAAGTTTACACATGGGTAGAAATGTATTCCCTCCAGTTCACTGGTCAGATTCAGAGATGAGGAACATGTGGCCCAATGGATAATCCCGTCTTTCCATCAGTGAGCTCACTGTGACAAATATAGCTTTCCTTCCCCTAGAACTTCCTCCTCACAACAACTTGATGATGTAATACAGGCCCAGAGAGATTGTGGCTGGCCCAAAGTCACCAAGGGAGTTAAATGGATCAATGGGGATTAGAATCTGAATCTCCAAAGCACCAGTACAATACCCTGACCACCTGCAATGGACACAACAACAGGCCTATTCAAAAGAACATGCCTTGCTTAAGTCAGGGGTGGCCAGAAAGACAGACTGCAACTCACCCGTAGGTCTCACAGTAATTTGCAGCCAGTCATTCTGGCAGCCACTGTCTAGCAAAGGCAACAATGAAAGATTTCCCTCCCTAGACTCCTCAGATATAAAAAACTGAGGAGACTGGGTGAAAACTAGGAGTGGGTTTTTAAAGAAGGGCTGTGAACTCAGTATTGGTCTAAAACCAAATTCCTCAGCTGAGCATGGACACAGAGGAACCTTGTTCTTTATTTTGGTTTATTTATTTTGTTTATGCCATGCAGCACTATTCTGTAAGCATAATATCTAGTTTGAAACTAAATGCAGGGCTTTCTGCTTTGCAGAATGCACTGAAATCCACTGCCCTTATTTATTCATTATTGAACAACAATAATAATCCTGTATTTTCAAAGGCTTTCAAGGCCAGGATCCAATGGTTGTTGTAGGTTTTTTGGACTGTTTGCCTGTGTTCTGGAGCCACACAGCTCCAGAACATGGCCAAACAGCCCAGAAAACCTACAACAACCAATAATAATCCTTCCAACCCCAGTCAAAAGTTTTCAGCTGGCTCTGACTGGGGGAATGTGGGGCTTTGATCAAAAACAAAACAGACTGTGCTGCCTTAAAGTCAGCCCACAATTGTCTTCTGCTACATGCAATTTCTCCGTACCTGCTCAGTCCTAGTGAAGGCAAGATGATAACCATAAATACCAGGAAGAAGTAGCATTTGTGCATCGTGATCTGGTTCTCAGTTGACCTAAAGAAAGCAAACCATGTTTATCCCTTAGAGAAAGAAGGTTAATGAGTATGGCACAGTACAACGATGCAAGAGAAGATGAGGGAAGCTAGCCTGGAATCCTGCAGCAAAACATCTGAAATTATACAACACAGCATCTCCAGACTTGATGATAACTAGGATAACTGGAATATAATAAGCAATGTAAACACATTTACATGTATTTTAATTAACTAACATGGGGCAGCTATGTTAATTCTGCAGCAGCAAAAACAACCAAGAGTCCTGTGACATCTTAATGATTAGCACATTTTTATAGCTTAAGAGTGGTTCCCAACCTTGGGTCTCTAGATGTTCTTGGACTAAAACTCCCAGAAGCCTTCACAATTAGTAGTGCTGGCCAGGATTTCTGGGAGCTGTAGTCCTTGGGACCCATAATTGGGAACCACTGGCTTATAATATAAGCCATCCGGGTGTTACTAGGAGTGTTGCAGGACTTTTAAGAGTTATTCTTTGTCACAGAGTGAGAATGGCATGTTTGCAGCGATTTACATACAGTGGACCCTTGACTTACAGACGGCTTGACTTACAGACTTTTTGAGTTACAGACTTCTCTGGCTGCAAAATTTAGGTTTGACTTACAGACCAGCAAAAAACCAAAATGGAATAAAAACGGCCTGTTACAGGAGCCACTTATAATATAAGCCATCCGGGGGTTACTAGGAGTGTTGCAGGACTTTTAAGAGTTATTCTTTGTCACAGAGTGAGAATGGCATGTTTGCAGCGATTTACATACAGTGGACCCTTGACTTACAGACGGCTTGACTTACAGACTTTTTGAGTTACAGACTTCTCTGGCTGCAAAATTTAGGTTTGACTTACAGACCAGCAAAAAACCAAAATGGAACAAAAATGGCCTGTTACAGGATTAGGCGATTTACATACAGACTGAAACCCAGCAAGGTAGAAAAAAAGTAGTGTCCCGCTAAGTAATGGAAGATCTGCTGACAACAACTCCAGACAAACTACACTTTATAAACATGAAATGTACTAAATTCATTTATGCATGGGGAAATCCAGCAAGGTAGAAAAAAAGTAGCGTCCCCCTAAGTAATGGAAGATCTGCTGAAAACATCTCCAGACAAACTACACTTTATAAACATGAAATGTCCTAAATTCATTTATGCATGGTTTTTTTTAAAATCCATTGCCTTAGCTACTTAGGTCCCTCAAGAAACTCTGAAAATGTGTCAGTGCAACCAGATCCAAGCCTAAGTAGAGGATATGCAGAGATGTTTTCAGATAAAAATTATTTAAAGGGTTGTAGCTCTAAGTTGGAGAGGACTAACCTTGTCCAGTGTGATTCAAAGAAAGCTGAGTAGTACACAATGAAAGGGAGGAACACAGAGAAGGCCCAGAGCAGCAATGTGGGGAAGAACTGGGTGACAATTGGGTTCTGAAATGGGAAGAAAAATGTGAGTAAAATAAAATGTAGTTCTTTTTAGCTGAAAACTCAGTGGCTTTGTCCCCTCCTCCCCATATGACTTCCAAATATTCATCTCGCCATCCATTCCCAGCGTCATCTCTGCCTTGATAAGGCTTCAAAGACAAAGGATGCGAATGGAAAATCTGCACTGAAAGGATTCAAACAACTTTCTCTTTCTGTCTGTACATCAGGGGATCCTCCATATCTTTCCTCCTCCAGTGCATCTCCTCATTTAGTACCAGTATATATTTGCAGATCAAAGAAGATATTGAGTATCACACAGAGCATGCAGCAGTCCTGGCTTGTCTGGACACAGATCCACTAAAGGTCCATCATGGAGAAATTTTGCTAGAGCTATAATTCCTAGCTCACTAGACTGGCTGATTGGCTTCCCTTTGGTGGGGACAATGAGCATGGAAACGGCAGCCCCAGAAAGGCAGGGAGAGACATGTTACCCTCCGTAAAAGGGGGCCCTAGTATCAATAAGGCAGAATCCCACCAGGTGGCGGTGGAGATGGCACCTTGAGGCTCTCCACAGGCTGTGTAACGTTGAACAGGTCCATGGTGTTGACAATGATGGCAGGTGTGGTGAGGAAGAAGAGGAGGATGAAGAGGCAGATGTTGAGCAGGACAAATCGTACCCACCACAAAGCACCATGGACAGATAAATTCTCCCTACAAGAAAGAAAGAAAGCATATGCATCATGTGGTGTGCTAGGAAGACCTAAACATATTAGTATCTTGGTAAGACCTCTCTCTTCAAAACAATACCCAGTTCTTCAACCATCAATGGCAATTAAAGATATGACTCCTTTCACCCGGCCTTAGCTGTCATAATTTGGGGGTCTCCTCTTTGTCTCTCTTTCCTGTGAGGTTCAGCTGCTGGGGATCTGCAGAGGGGGCTTTTGGTGATAGCTTCTCAGTTGTGGATTTGTTCCAGCAGGGCAGGGATGGGACACAACTTCTGGCCCAAGAGCAGAAGTCCATCTCAGAGAAGTACTTGTGGGTGAAATTCCAATGGGGTGTGTGAGACAAATGGGTGGGACACAAAAGATCAGCCTATTTGAACTTAAAACGTTCACTGCTAGTGATTAAGCAGTAAGAGAGGCATTTCAACTTTTTGGAGTGGGGAAAGAATCCATACAAAAGCTGGGAACCTACCAAATTATGGTCTCACTGCTGGGCCACAGGGCCAGCCTGGGACTCTGGGGAGCTGGCCCTGGCCTCATGGCTTCAGATTCCCCACCCATGCCATTGAGGATCACCTAGCATACCATTTAAGCAGGAAGCAAAGATGTTTATATTTGCAATTCAGTATATGATGCGATTCACCTCTATTATAGTTTTATCCATTCTGCTGAATGTTCATTTTAATTAATTTTTGCTTTCTTAATGTTTTCCGTTTTGACTATTTTCATTACTTTATTATATCCTGCCCTGCATGTGTTTAACTGAAGGACAGCACAGAAAACCTTAAAATATATTAATTTACACAAAATCACAACAATGGTAGGAAAATATGGGAGATTTTGTGAGTTTAGCCATGTAGCCACAGAGATAAAGGGACTCCATAAGGCACCAAGGTGATCAAAGAGTCTCTCGACTCTCCAGTCTTCACATTACACATCTCTTTCCCTTGCCTAATGTCAATGCCCAAGTAGGCTTTTGTGAACAGAAGCCCCACTTCAGATGCATATAAAGAACAGACTACAGTGCAGAAAAGCTTATTATCATATAATACTTGCTAGTCTCTAAAGTATCACAAGACCGACTCATTCTTTTTCTTCCAACAGGTTAGCATGGCTACTCCTCTTGAGAGTCTGAGCTGGTGGATTTCCAGTCATTGAAATATCCCAATATTTGGGTATGGAACATTTTAACATTTGGCTGTCTCTGCAATTAAGACAGCAAAGCACAAGAATTTACCAGATGATGTCACTGGGTGCAGGGGCATAGCTGACCCCCCAGAAATGGGACTTCACCACCGTGGTAACTGATGACTGCTGTGGATGCCTACGGCAGTAGATGCAGTTGTAATCCTTCAAAATACTGGGGAAGAGAAGAACAGGGAATAGTTTTCAGTTCCCCTGCTGTAGAGAATCACTGGACTGGGAGAGAATTTGCAGATCTAGTCCTACTTGTTTGAAAGAGTTGTCCGCACAGTAATCCACATGCACCCAGCACATTAACTTCCACCTACAGATTCAGATGCATGAGAGATACAATGATAAAGCACATGGTAGCTCATGCTGTTGTTTTATGTGCCATCATTTCTGACTCATGGCAACCCTATAAATGATGATCTCCAAATGTCTCCAAGTGATCTCCAAGGACGTGCATGGGGGTGGGGGGAGCCATGATTTCTGTCTTGTAGTCTGTGGGCACTATGGTCTGTATCTTTAGATATTGTGTATCTCACATGTCTGGGAAACCCTCTCAAGGTTGCCCTAAGTCTGATGCAACTTGAGGGCACATAACAGCTCAGCATCAAGCATCCAGTTGTAGTCAACAACCTGCTTGGCTTATTTCATGCATCCTTTCGCCTAATTATAATCAGCATCCCTCTGGACAAGGAAGAAGCGGGACAGAGGAGAGAAAAAAAGTAGATAGCAGAGAGAGGGTGGCAATGGGAAGAGGGTGATAGGGTGGGAGATAAACAGAGGCAGGGCAAGGCCAGAGGGGTGGCTCCACCTACTTTTGGTCCCACAAACCAACAGACCTTGAGGGAAGGTAAGCTTCAATAGGAAGAGAAGACTTCCCCACTTTAGAAAAAGAGTTAGGGGGAGGGGATGCTCACGTTGCTGTCATCCTTTCATCCTGGAATGTGACAAAAGCTATGTCAAGGCGCTTGAGCGCAATGCGGCTGCGTTCGGCATTAAACTCGTCTGTCAGTTTCTCCTCCAGCTCACCATAGTATTGTTCAGCATCCACCTAGGAAGAGAGAGAGAGAGAGAAAGAAGAAATATATGTGCTTCCTTTATTCAGTTTGAAAAGCTACTAAAATAAACGTTGGACAAAGTTAATACAACCCCAAACTTTTGCAATGATTGCATTCATTGTCCATTTCTCAAAAGCTGCAGAACCTTACAGTTCTTTGGCAAATAACACAAAATGATACAGGCCTGGCATTAATCCCAGAATGTCTATCCTATGAATAAACCGATTAGGATTTTCCTAATGAGATTAAATAAAAGTCAAAACCTAAGGTTCCACACTAATACTGGTGTCAAATATTTGTCAGATGCCAAACTCTGTCTCACAAGACTTGCCATTGGAGTGAGTCAGCTATCCCAGGAAGCTGTGTGCTTGTGCGGGCAAGTGGGATTAACTGAATCATACCTGTCCTGTTAGACAGATGCCACAGGAAAAATAACAGAAATAACCATGTCAAGGAGATTTTTTGTCTTGGTGGAAGGAACTGCTTGGCAGCTGCTAGCTTGCATTTTCCAACAAAGCCACCAGGGGGTGGCATCCAGCTGACATAGGCTTTCAGAGTAATATACGAGAGCTTACTGTATATTAGTTTTTGACATTTTATTAATCTGCCTGGCACCCTGAGGGCCTTTATTCCCTTTTGGCTGAATGCTGTGGTTAAAAAACACATTCAAATAATGACTAAAAATTTTAGCTCAATCCCTTCTAGCTCCAAGTTACTGAGTCCATTTAAACTTTACCTCATGTCTCTTTTTACCTACTTCTTTTAATACCTTTAGCAGTTTCTCACCTCGCTGAACTTAAACAACCCCCCTCGTGCATTCATTGAATGTATGAGTGAAGGTGATGGGGATATCGTATTGTTTTACGATATATTTTGATAGTTATAATGATGATTTTATATGATTATATTTTAAGATGTTTTATAACTATTTGTTAGCCGCCCCGAGTAGACTCTGTCTAGAGGGACGGGGTAGAAGTCAAATAATAAATAAATAAATAAAATGCATTTGGCCAGGAACTGCTGAAAACATTTCGCTGCCTGAGGTGGAGAAGCAAATCCACCTCCTGCTGCCCAAGTTAAGGTGCACAATACTTAAATACTATGTAACTTTATCCCAGTGCTACAACACCCCTGAAATCAAGGTGCACAATATCTAAAGCTGGTCATGTTGCTCCAACATATAAAGCAGACAATTCCACATGTTCCTCTTTCCATCCCGAGAATAACGTCAAATGAAATGAGCACTTGTCTGCCTTTTCATGACACCCAATAACTACGGTTTGAGGTAGCCACCTCACTTTGCTTTACAAAAAGGCCCTGTCTTGCCATCAACAGTGCTTCATGTTGGGTGCTCATAAAGGTGAATCCCCCCCTCCAATATATAAAGATACGCCCATAGGCCTTCTCCACAGGAAGAAGAACCATGGTCATTCAGAGAGTTTGTGAAGGATTTGTGTGTGGATCTGTGGGTTGGAGGAGACATGCATATACAGAGCCTCTTCCCAATTCTCTCAAAGACACTACCAGAGCTGCTGATGGATGTGAGACAGCGGAGAGGCAAAGCATGTAGGTGTGATTCCAGAGCTCTCACACACGTTCAGTAAATTCATGAGATGGGTGTCCCTCCTGTTCTAGTGACAGCTAGAAGTCCATGGCTTCAATCTCAGTTCCACCATGAACTCAACTATGGAGGGTTACTGGAAGTATTCAGAAAGCCTCTCTCTCTCTCTCTCTCTCTGTGCTGGTCTTTTCTTCCTTGTCACAGTGTGAAATCTCACAGAAAAAGATAAAGGCTTAGCCCAGCTTGGTAGGTGACATATAAGAACAGCAATGGTACAACAGACCACCAAAAATACCCATGTGTATGTCCTGACTTCCATTTTGTACCTCTTCAAAGCCACAGATACTGCAACAGAAGATGCGGGAGCACGGGTGGATCTTAATCATGATTTTCCCCTCTTTTTGTGCCTTGGTAGTAAAGTAAAGCCTCCCCTTCATTGCCCGGCGCCTGTCAGGAAAAGAATTAGAGAGAACAGTTAAAAAGGCCATCTATTTCTTCTACAGAAACAGGATCAGAGAGGAAAGTTAATGAAGCCATTCCTTTCTTCATTACATTCAGAGTTAGTGTTCCCTACTTATGTGCTATGGAAATCACATAGCTTAAACTCCTAAACCCAAAATCTAGCATTCAGATAATTTTGTATTTCTTAAAAAACTGAAGAAAAGCAAATCTTAGAAAAGTGAGAGTTTAGCACTGATTACTATGAAAATAGCTATTATTGTATAACATTTGTGGAGAGCGCCATAAAACCATAGGTGGCTATAACTGACAAGATTATGTTGAGGGAATCCTTTCACTATTCATAGGATGGATCTCTTTCACTCTCCTGTCTAATTACTACATCAGAAGACTCTTTCTAAATATAATTAGGAGGATCATACTTCTCAAAATGGTTTAGAAAGGCCTGCTCATTCATTAGTGAGGATAACAGTCCCTTTCTGCTATTATGGGACACTGTTAACTTTAGCAGCACAGGATAATCTGCTTATTGATGGGACTAAGTTTTCATTTTTCTTGTAGTTGTTACATATTATCAAGTTACTTCCAACTTAACAGTGGCCCTGTTAATTAATTACCACAAAAGTTCCAATCATTAGTCCTACTCTGGTCTTGGGAACAAAAGGCTATTTTATTGTCCCACTCCATCTCATTCTTGGTTTCCCTCTTCCTCTTTTCTGATTATCTTAAATTTTTCCTAGCATTACTCTCTTTTCCAGTGAGTCTTAAATCCTCAGAATATGTCTAAAATACAATGTTGGCCATTGCTTTGTTTTCCATATTTGTTGATATATTCTTATTAGGATTTTGACAGATTCAATTTCTGTAGCTTGAAATAGTTCTTTTTGTAGGGTATAGGTTCAGGGATTGTATTTTGCCGTGCTTCAGCCCTGCTCATGTCCTCCTGTGGGGTCTCCTTTGCATGTTGTCCGACCGACTCTTCTTCAAGTAACTGACTGTATTTTGCTGTGCTTCAGCCCTGCTCATGTCCTCCTCTGGGGTCTCCTCTGCATGCTGTCCGACTAACTCTTCTTCAAGTAACTGATAGCACTTTGTTGTTCCACTGGGGAAGAGTGTCTTCTCCTTCTTTTGTTCCTAACTTTTCCATGGTGGTTTGTGTTTGTAACCTCTACAGCATTTTCCTCCACTGCAATGTTTCGGTTTTCTTCCATCAGCAGTGCCCCCTCTGACAGCTGCTGCTGCTCAAGTGTTCTATCAATGTAGGTTTCATCTTCTCTTATCGCCTTGAGTGTGGCTACTAGCTGCTCCAGGTCTCTGACTTTCTCTTCTAACCGCACCACAAGTTTATACTTGTTACACGTATGCAGCATTTTACACTCAGGAAGAAAGACAAACATAGCACAAACTTTGCAGGTAACAACAACTGAGTTGTCTCCACCCTCCATAATCCCTTCTAGCTTTTTTACTTTCAACTGTTTGTTTAGCATACCTGTCTCTCTTGTTTTGTTAGTTTAAATGTAGTTGTACATATACCTAAAGGAATGAAAAAACCTTTGTTAGGGGCCTTCCCCCACGAACCCCCGCGGCAAACTCCCTATTTGCTTTCCTTTTTGCAACCTCCGGTTGTGAGCTCCCTGGGTCTGCCTTGAGCTCTATTTGTCAGCTGAGCTCTGCCCGGAGTCAGGAATTAAATCAATATTTTTAACAGTTTAATTAGTCATTTATCAAGGCTTTTCTTTTCTTTTGACTATGGGATTATTTTTCCCCCTGCATTAATCCCTGATAAAATCTCTGGTTTCATTCCACATTTCTTCCAATTTACTGTGAGAACTGATGTCAGTACAGTGGTGCCCTGCATGCCGCCGATAATCTGTTCCAGCAAAATTGCTGTTCAGCAAAATCGTCATCATGTGAAAAAAAAACCCTTTGGAATGCATTGAAAACCAGTCAATGCATTCCAATGGGGGAAATATGTGATCGTCCTACGAAGATCCTCCATAGGGCGGCCATTTTCCGATCCCTGTCTTGCGAAAATAGGTCAGCAAAACAAGTTCATTAAGAGTTGAGCGCTTGCATTCTTTCATTTTAAGATCTGAAAGCATGTCCATGAAGTCAAAAATGACTCAGCACTGCTCGGTTCCATGCAAGGGGTCGTCATAATGCAGGGCACCACTGTAATTTAAAGTTTTTCTTTACAGGGACTTTATATTTGTTGTTTAAATTATATTGTTTAAATTATACTTTGTCATTATGATTGTTTGAGTGTTCTCCGGCTTTTCTCTAATTGATGACATCAATAATTTATGATCTATATCACAGTCTGCTCTTGGACTTGTTTTTGTAGGAAGAATAGAAATCCTTTCTGTTTCTGAGTCTACTGTCTGTTTTTCTTGTACGCTGAACCCTCTAGTGGTCTCCATGTATAAAATCATCTGTTAGATATCCTGAAGTGTGCACTTAATAAACAAACTCTTTATTTCATATATTTCCATGAGTCAATTTCCTGCTTTGTTTCAAACTCATCAGCCAAATTCTTCAGTAACGTTTTGTTCCGCAACATTTCTTTTTTTATTCCAAACACTTTCAGTTCCTTCTTCTTCAGCGTCTGCAGTTGAATTAGGGTATGTTGATATATTTTCAATGAAGTCTTACCGATACCATTCGGTCACACTTTACATTCCACTCCCTAACTGCCTGAGCTACATTTCACTATCAGAGCCACTGTTTCTTCTGGATTTCACATTTCCAGAACAAAATATTCTATAATCATCTTACTCCAGTCCACTTAGGTTCCTTTTCACCAAATAATGCAATATTCCATTTTAAACATTACATATATATTGTTTTTATATGGGTTTCTGCCATTATAGATGATTAGAAGAGGAAAATCTTTTAAGGGCTAATTATATGTGTCACAGCAGGAGATTCTCTCACCTCGTACCATTTGCAAATTAGATTGCTTTACTTTGTGTCTAGTGTCGAGGACATAAACATGAGATTCCTCTGAAGTCTAATTTCTCAAACTTGAAAGACTGCCTCAACCATGCATATACTTTGAGTTCTAATTATGAGCTACCTATGATGTCTATTTCTGCCTTCAGAACAAGCTGTCCCAGAAAAAAAAATCCTGAAACCTACCTCTCTGAATCCAGCTTCATTAACTTGCGAACATCAGAGCAGAACTGGACTCCGGTCACTGTGCAGCTTGGGTAAGCCTCACTGTGAGGAAGGACAATTAAGAGTGGTCAAAAATGAATGCATTCATTGGGAAGTAGATGCCACGAGAAAGGAGAGGCTGGGATGTGCCAAGAAAGACAGATCTCTCTTTTTAAAAATAAGTTTTATAGGAGTAGCTCATTACAAAGGGGAAACTGTCTTCCAAATTTCAGAAGTCTGTCTTTATTAGGCCAACTCACAAGAAGAAGTATTGATGTTCTCCAGAACTCCTAATCAGACCAGGTTGTATACAAAGAAAGACAGAGAAGAAAGGAGATAAAATCATGCTATTGAAGCCATGGAATCTGCAGTTTATGGCACAAGCTTGACAATAAATGTCAGTGTAAATGTAGACATTTAAATTAGGCTCCACCAGGTGCTGTGATGGTTTGTGGTTGCTGTCCTTCCCTTAGCAGAATGTACAAATTCATTTATAAGTGGAAAACTGTCTAGTGAAATAGAAATCAGAACAGTTTTTAACCAACAAAGCAATAATCTTGTGAGAGGCGAAGAGATCACTGAGTTTCATGGCTCACCACAGACATGAACCCAGACCTTGTTATTCTTAATCACAGTCCTCACTGGCTCTGTATATTGTTAACTGGACTAGAATGGGATGCAGTTAGAGGGAAAGACTCTTTCCATGTAGTTGTGCTTACTGGAAATGTTTGACAACAAGGGAGGGATCCGTGATCTCTTTGGGAATCCTGGTAACCATCAGTGTCCGGGCCACCTGGGATAGAAGGGGAGAGAAATGAAGATATTCAGCAACTACAGGACTAGGAACAGCTTCCCATAAGCAGGGTGTCTAGAATGTTATATTAATAAATCTCAGTGTGGACATTTGGCAGATGGGTAAGACTTACACTCTGCCCAAGAGTCACAGCTTTACTTAAAATGCAAAGATAGCAAGATGCCCAGAAAGAATTTTCCTTCTTAGTTCACAGCTCTCAGTGAGGCTGCAGTGTAGGATACCTATTTATTTATTTTATTTGTATCCCGCCTATCTGGTCGGGTGAGGACCACTCTAAGATGCATCTGAGTCTAGTGTTGGCCAGCAGTAGAGGATTAACTGGTTGACAAGACAAATGTTGTCCTCAATCCTGCTGCCCCAAGGTGGAGAACTTCCCTGCCAAGTCCACTTATGCACCAGTCAACAAAGAGGAGTTGTGAAAGAGGCTGCTGCATTCTTACCCTCTCGTTCTCCTTGTACTCAAGTTGGATGGAGTGATGAGCCACACAGAGGACAGTAATGATGAAATAGAGGAGGGAAAAGATACTGTGTAGCCACAAGAGGCGGTCACTTTAAAAGACAAAAAAAAAGGGCATTTTTTTGAAACTGGAAAAAACAAGGACATTTAGCCAGAAGGATAAGGCAACAACAGCTGTTTCCTGATTTGGGCAGACGGACTCCCTGACAGACATAGCAGTTAAGAAAACAGGCTTCACCTCTCACATCAAAGTGCAATGGGTGAATGGCTAAGCTCGGGAGGATCTGGTGTTGACCTAGCTGAACATTATTACCGCATTTTGAAGCAAAAGAAGCTCTCCCCATGCTTGCAAGGTGAGCAGTCAAGAATAACTTTCTGATGAAATTGGTACCAAGGGTTTTTTTTACATTATAAAGGATGGCACGTGTTGTGGGGGAGGAAGGGCCATACAAACACCAGGAATTTTAAAAAGAAAGAAAAGAAAACAGCATGTTACAGAAAAAGGTGGTCTTGAATTTGTTAATATTAAAGAATAGCAATTTCCACAAGAATTCCTGAAGTAGTCAGCAAACCTAGCTGGTCTGACTCTCCCCTCTTCTCCACTTCACCTTGAATCTCTCTTTCTCTCTCCCCCTTTCTCCCTTGCTCATTTCCTCCCTCCCTTCCTTCTCCTTCCCAACTTCCTTCTTTCTGAAAGAATACAAACAGAAAATAATGTACCTCTAAGGAATTGTGAACACTTACTCTCTGGGAACATTTGCAATAGTGGTTCGGCCAAAATTAGTTGGATGTGTTCCTGAAAAAGAGATAGAGAAGGAAATCAGTGGGGAGATGGCAGACATGCAAAATGAAGGGCACAAATGCAAAAAAATAAAAAATAACGCTGTCTTGAAGGAAAGAAGTATGTTTCTACAATGGCATTATATCCATTCCATCTTAATCATTTTGATTCATTTAGAGCATTTCCTAAATATTGATTCAACAACCATGACTAGGATTAAAGAATGTAAAAACAGTGAAGTCCAATCAGCATGTAGGGAAAAAGCAACTAATCCTAATGGATCAACTGATTAAAAAAAAAGCATGTTTAGCTGCCTAAATCAGTTTATCTGTCTCAGTTTCTGACACTGAGCCAAACTAGATAGAAGGGCAAATCCATAATTGCATTTATTTTTACACAAAAAACAAAAACAATTCTCCATCCTTCTGCTTCATGAGAGGCACATTCTAAAGCTTCAGTCTGCTGTTAGCTTCTTTAGTTAGTCAATTCCACTGGTTCAGGACTGAACTGAGTTGTTTCCCCAGTATTGAAATGAATATTAAATCCCCCTCTTCCTAGTAGAGCAGTATCTCTGGAATCCTTTGGGGACCTCACAGCCACTGGTCTGTTCAAGACCATCGAAACCCCTCGCCCATTACCACTGAGGCCTGACTTTGGGCCCTGCTGTGGGGGATTTAGAGCGCTACATACCTAGGAGGTCGCCAGAGAAATTGACAGGGAGGATGACTGCCACAGAAAGCACACAGATGATCAGAAGCAGCACCAGTAGGTGCCTTTGGAAGGAAAGGTAGGTGGTAGCATCAATTCCACACTTGCTTTGAATTTCCTCATCTCTGAAAAAATGTGAAGAAATGTCAATGTAGAACCACAAATTACCACCCTTCTTTCTTTTCCTTTTTCAGAGAGAAAGAATATAAGTGCCAAACTTTAAGACAGAATATATTCCCTGATTCTGCCAACAAGCAACCAGGCTACAATGTCTTTATATAGATTTACACCTATATTTCTAAGGGAATAAAATAAAGAAGCATGCTCAGTAGAGAACACCAACAGTGGAGACTAGTCATATAAATTGAGAAAATGGCTGAAATTCAAACTCTTCACAGGCTCCTTGGCCTGTTACTTATGTACACTGGCCTAACTACAACACCTGAAACTGCAGCAATAAATTGCTGCCAGTTAAGAAGTTGATGCCTGCATTCTTTGTCACTTGCCAGTTGTATCACCAGGCATATTATGAGGAATGCAAGTGTGGACTCCTTGACTAGTGATAATTCACTTTGCCCTTGTACTTATGCCAGCATGTGTAAGTAATAAAATTCTGGGCACTGAATTTAAGAAGAAAAAAAAACCCTTTTGGAATTCTGTATAAGATACAATTGTAAGATTAGGACACTTTTGCATATTGATTAAAATACAGTATGGGAGGATGAAGATTTATTTGACTAAATAAATAAATAAATCTTGCATTATGATGTGCCACAAACATTTTTTTTAATTTCTGCCCTGAGCCCTGAGCAACAACATCAACAATATTAAACTCCTGAGAAGTCATACCAGCCTTTACCAATCTGGAACCCTAAAGATCCCTTTGATTACTACTCCCCAATATTCTCTAGCCAATATAGCCAAAACAGATCAGGAAGGGTTGGGTTTCATCAAGAAAAAAATGGCATTTATTTACTTTCCATTAGTGGTGGGAAATCATCTTCTTATTTCCTCCCCTTTATCCTCTCCTTCTCTTCTGCTTTGACCAGGGATGGCTAACAGTCTATTCCTACCAGTGTCACTTCCCTTTATATTTACTCTTAAGTCTGTTGTACATCTGTGATTTTTAAAAATAGATGAACAAAAGTGTTAGCCAAAATCCTACTGGCTTTATTTATTTATTTACTTGATTTCTATACCGCCCATCTAGAATGTGCCTACACTTAGCAGAAGGTTTATGTAATTTGCTGCAGCTAATTGTAGCTATTTGACAAGACATCGGAACACATCCAGATAGTGCAACTGCACACACGATTTGACATGCAACTGGGATGTGTCACAGGACTCTTATCCATTAGTCACACCTAGACACAGCAAGTTACACAAATCTTAAGCCAACACTAATGCAGCACAGTGTATGGGATTATGGGAGTATGAGTTAGAAAATGAAGAGGAGATTGACAAGACTACCCACCTTCCCACGCTACCACAGCTATAGCTCAAATGGAGCTGCCAAGGAGAGTTGCTTGGGGGAGCATGTGATCAAGAAGTGGGGGCAGCCAAGGTCCATGAAAAGAGAAAGCTGGGGCAGGCAGGAGGTGGCCAAAAGATGAAAGAAAGAAGCATCCTGGGAGCAGAGGGAAGACCTGCATGGGAGTGACAAGGTACTGTGCCAGGAGAGGTGCCGTGACAGGCCAATAAAAGAGTGATAATGAAATGTCCGATGGGAAGGGAAGCCTAGTGAAAGTGATGTGTTATTTGTGGGAGACCAAGTGAGGTGCCTGGAAGGGAGCAGACAGAGAACTCATTGTGCCCCTCCCCATAAAAGGGAACAAGGAACCGTAGGTGTTAAGACTGACGTAAACTCATGCCTTAAGTATGTGTCTGAGGAAGTGGACTGGACCTCACACAGAAATAAAAATGTTAGCCTTAAAGATGCCAGACGCCTTAGCTTTATTGTTTTCTTGCTGCTGTTGTTATACATATTGAAATAGATGGATATGGCTAACTACTTGAAAATTACATATAAATATGATTTTTTGAACTTATTTTCTCACAAAACATTTATTTCTAGCCATATTTTTCTCAGAAGTATATATTCTTACATCGATTTTGCATTACTATACATTTATATTTTACATGCATGTTGATATGATTTTACTATATCTTCATTTCCATCTGCCCATTTGCCCAGAAGGTACAGGTCACGTTGGTTTGCTTCAAAATATAAACTGATCAATTTCCTCAAACAACTATAAAGTTAAAGGTAAAGGTTTCCCTTGATATTTTTAGTCCAGACGTGTCCAACTCTAGGGGGCGGTGCTCATCCCGTTTTTCAAGCCGTAGAGCTAGCGCTTGTCCGAAGACAGTTTCCGTTGTCATGAGGCCAGCATGACTAGGGAACACCGTTTACCTTCCCACCGAGATGGTACCTATTTATCTACAGTACTCGTATTTACATGCTTTCGAACTGCTAGGTTGGCGAGGAGCTGGAACAAAGCAACGGCAGCTCACTCCATTGCATGGATTCGATCTTACGACTGCTGGTCTTCTGACCTGCCTTGTATTCCTTTGCTATCTGAAAACCAGGTTCAGCTACAGCTAAATGAATGCGAAGAAAGGATATCTCTTGGAGAAGCATGAATTAATTCTGATGTGCCTCAGTGGAATGAGGTTAATGCATTGTTTATTGACCCTTCCATCATCTCTCCCTCTCTTTTTAACAACCAACGTCCTTCCTTTTAAAGGCATAAAAGCATTTTAGCATAAACTGAGCAGGCACTTCTACATACTGTATACACTTTGGGTTTCTCACAAGTGCAGAGAATTTCCAGCAAAATCCAGATCTGTTGCAAGAATTAGCTTCCACATGTGATGGGACCTCCTCCATCTTCCTTCCACAGACTCCCATACCACACTAAAACTGCACTGGAAAATCCTCAGACCCTTTGCAGAAAATGCTGAGGGCATGTGGTAGGGTAAGGACAGAAGAGAAATTACCTCTTTGCCATTCTGATGAAAAGAGAACAGAACATGAAGCAGGATTTTTCTATTTTCTGACTACAGGTTGTTATATCATCTGCTGTTTGTCAGCTTCTATTGTATCTGTAATTTAAGAGTGACCGATGCCAAAACTCATGTGTTGTTGTGCTATAAAGTCAGGTTTGACCAACATGACAAAAGGACAGGAAAGTCATCCAGCTCCTCTTAATTTTCAGCAGATCCTTGAAATTAATTTTCAGTGGTCCTTAGGCCAACCAAAATTAGAGGAATCTTCTATAATAATAGTGGAGAATGTGTATTTTGTTCCACCATCGCTTCTAAGACCATGATACCTAAATTTCAGAAAATTGGCATGGATACCATAACTTGGCAAGGACATTAAAAACTTCAAACAGGAATGTGTGTGTGTGTGTGTGTGTGGTAACTTGGCAAGGACATTAAACACTTCAAACAGGAATGTGTGCATGTGCATGTCCGTGTGCGTGTGAGTGAGTGAGTGAGTGAGTAAGTGAGTGAGTGAGTGAGTGAGTGTAATAATAGGTAGGAAAAGAAGAGTAAGGAGGAAATGAGTGTGCAGACTGAGCAGGACAAATTGTAATATACTTGGAAGGTTAAATTTTCCAAGGAAAGCCTCGTACGAATTTGGATATGACTCTGACAGGGGAATGGGAAAAGAAGAGCAAGGAGGAAAGGAGTGTGCAGATTGAGCAGGACAATGACAAATTGTAATATACTCAGAAGATTAAATTTTCCAAGGAAAGCCTCATAAGAATTTGGATATGACTCTGACAGGGGAATGGGAAAGGGAGGGTGGGAAGGAAGAAGGGGTCAGAAACGTGTGTGTATGTGTGTGTATTTTTCCCACCACTGGTCTTTGTCCTGATTTTTAAAAAAACTTTATATATAAATATAAACTTTTAATATATTGTTAGAGATTTCTAACAATTGCAAACCTGTGTATTTTTTCTAATCCACAAATATGGGGAAAGAAAGCAAGATTTTCCACAAATTTAGTAAGACATGTGGGACTCCTGATATAATATTAAAAGGGGGCTTTCTTGGTAAAGGAGGAAATGTACTATCTGACAATGCATTCCTTTATCCCAGAGTTCATTCCACCACCTCCTTTCCACCCCAGATCAGAATTCCATTTTAAACCATCTTGTGTAAATCTAATCAGAATTAAGAAACACAAGGAGGTTCACCAGAATACAAACACTACAAATGTGATCATTAGCTCCGGGTCGCTCACTACTTTGAAGATTTTTTACTTTGGAGATTTCTGTAGTTCTGAAATTTTCATATTAGAGCTTCTGGGGAATGACAATTCTTCTGTGGAGAAGATCTTATAGTTCAGATATTGAGTCATTTCGGATAATGAGAACTCAGAAAGAGGACAAGGGGCCAAAGGGTTGATTTCTGCTGCTTTCCACAACAAGACATAAAATACTTGGTGCTTGAGTTTGTTCTAATGAAATATCAAAATGAGATATAAACTGGGCATCTTGTCAACAAGCATTATGACAACTAATTTCACTGTAAATGTATTTCAGATTTCATCTACCATATCACTAGATACAGTGGGATCTGTAGAGCTAAGATGTGTGCTATTTTAGAATTAACACTTTATTTTCATTTTCATTAATACTACACACTTTATTTATTTCATTTATTTATTATTCGATTTCTACCCCGCCCCTCTAGATAGAGTCTAGGAACTTGCTGGAGTATATATAGAGAGTGTATAGGAACTTGCTGCAGATAATTGACCATTTGCCAGAGTGCTTCTTGGTTGTGTGGTTGGTCATGTGCCCAGTTACGCAACTGAGAGGTAGCCCAGGATCTTGACAATTAGCCAGAATTAGCCACAGATAGGCTATATACAAACTCTAATAGGATCTTCATTGTTTTTCAAGGGCTCTGTTAACTTTATCTGTCGTCTCTTTATATTTTCAGATAAGACTCCTTGAAGTTTATTTCCAGAGAAAAGCTCCAAGTTCCACTAGCAGAAACTGTAGCTTTTCTAACGTTATTCGATCACAACTCTCATCAGTGCTAGGCAACATGACCAATTGTGAGGAATGACATTTACATTATAGACTATGAAAATGAATAGTTCCTGGTTGAGCACAAAACACTGCCATCCCAAATCTCACTGATGTTGCCACATTAAGAGGGAGACAAGAATGATTATCATTACCTACAACATGTCATGTACTCACTTCATTTGGTAAATAGAAAGCAGCCATGAGCAGAAGCCCTAAAAAAGTGAGAAAAAAATGAGCTACCTAAGATCAATTAGACCAGAAACACCTGCAACCACAGGTGGTGCTGAAGGCCATATTTCACATTGGCCACCTTCTTATTGGCCAAACCCCTAAAGGAGCATGGCTGAAGTGGAAAGAGGCATGACTAAAATGCTACATTATTTAATTTCTTTTTTTAAAAAAAATATTTTAGCAGATAACCATATTTTATCACTTGATAAACAAAACATTTTCAAACTATGAAATTTTCCCCTCATAAAGTATTATTCATTTTGTAAAAATAAGATCTATTAATTTCTTTAAAAAAAAATATTTTAGCAGATGACCATATTTTATCACTTGATAAATAAAACATTTTCAAAATATGAAATTTTCCCCTCATAAAGTATTATTCATTTTGTAAAAATAAGATCTATTCTTTCAGGCTAATTCATCAAATAGAATTCATTCAGTAATATCAACCTTATAGAAATATTTACTCATACTTACTTGAATAAGATCGCAGCACCATCACCAGAGAATAAACAGTCTGTGATTCTCTGATAATTAATACGGCCCCAATATTAAGCCTCTTTATTAAACATTAATACTTGAACTATAAATAACCAAGGCTTAATCCTATGTAAACGACAATCAAAGTTTAAAGAAAAGAAATGCTGAGGAAACTCCTAGGAAGTGGGTGGTAACAAACTTTTCTGATTAAAGTTAAACTTAGAAAAAAACTTGTTTACTGCCTTACTATGGTTCCCTTCTAGGTTTTAGGGCAGAACTTCTTAAAAACTATTTTTCTTAGGATCACTGGAAGACTAATAATAATAATAATAATAAAAAAGACTTGTGGGGCAGCGTGCAACCTGCAGGCTGCACTTTGCCAACTCCATATTATCAGACTTCAACAGAATTTGTACTTCTGTCTATGTTCTGAAGTAATGTGGATTAAAGAAGCCTAGTCCTAAACTCTGGGATAATCCAAATGCTACTCCAAACTACAGCAGACTCATTCAAGTGATGGGACCTGATATGTCAGAGGGAGGCAAACCGTAATCCTCCAGTTCTTGTTAGACTATAATTCCCATTAGCCACAGCCAACATTGTCAATAGTGAGCAATGGGAACTACAGTTCAACAGCATCAGGAGGACTGCTCTTTCCCCAACCTGTGTTAACGCAACATCTATATAAGTCTGTTAAATTAAACAGGTCTACTCTAGCTTGGACTAACAACTGCCAATGAACACAATGAGTAAGGATCATTAGGATACCAAGAATAACTGCTAAATAGCTGTGTGGTTTAAGTATCTTGCTGTGGAGCCAGAGATTGGGATTTGATTCCCTAGTGTGACTGCTTGACAGGGGCTGGACTCAATTATCTGAAGGGTACCTTTCATCTCTATAAATCTAAGATGATGATTATGATGATGAACATCTATTTATCTGCTTCCAGCTCTGACTGTAATTATAGACAATTAGTAAGATGGATACAAATTGAAGGCAAGGACTGGTGGGCATTCAAAGAAGTATCTGTTCAATGAAACTTACCCCATCTTTGTTATCAGCATCTAGTGGACTAGTCTCTGATGGTGATTTCTCCTTTTCACTTTGCTCACCATAGAAGAGTGATGTCAAGCTTCCCATATGTTGAAAAGATGACAGATAGAGAAAATAGGTGGGAAAGAGAAAAAGGAAAGGGTGAGACAAAAAAAAGGGAGAAAGGAAGTATGAATTAGATTTAAAAGAAGATGGAAAAGGCAAGGAAGGAGGGAGAAAGAAAGAAAGAAAGAAAGAAAGAAAGAAAGAAAGAAAGAAAGAAAGAAAGAAAGAAAGAAAGAAAGAAAGAAAGAAAGAAAGAAAGAAAGAAAACCATTATTCCAATCAGTCAAATTTTAACCATCTAGATAATCTTTGCATTTACCCAGGTGCCGAGGAAATCAGCCAGGCTACAGAAGGAAAGGTGAGGAAGATGGATGAATTTAAAATTTATAAATTGCAAGAACAGCACCCTAAAGACCAAGCTGCCACCCTTATATTTTCCCCTTGCCCAAATACGGCTTCCAGCACTTTGTAAATACAAAGTAAAGTTTTCAGTGTAGGTCAGAATTTAGGTTCAGGATCTGCACTGACTGAACAATTGAGAAATTAGATTTGGACAGAAAAATATATCTCAGCTTACTCAATATTAATTCCTGAGAAAGGTGTAGCATGAAAAGAAGAAAGGGTAAATTACTCTTCCCAACTAACCCCAATCACCAGTGGAAAGTGACAACTCATTAACAACCCAACAGTAAGAATCAAGCAATATTATTATAGGATTGCGAGATCCAAATTTCAGGAAGTTACTTCTGAACAGTGGTATTCAAAATAAGATAAGCCCATTTTATAAGATATAACTGCGATATTCTGAAATAAAATCAAGGACATCTGGACAATCTGTTAGCATGGTACTAGATGCAGGCTGTGACCTGTTCTTTCCTCAAATGTATGAATACCAGTAGTATAATTTTCTTTTCTGATTGGAAAAACCCAAACCAACCCAGCATTGTCAGAGAGCCAACACCTCAGAGAATAACAGCCAAGTGAACATTCTGCAAGAGCTTGCCCAAAAGCTATTCCATGACATTCAAATAGGCACCCTTGAGACAATATCCTGTAAAGGAAAGGAAGACCACTGCAAATTGGGGTGGGTGGATAAGGAAAAATCATGATTCCCTTTTAATGTTCTTTGAGAAATAGTAAGTACAGAAATCTGTGATCTGTAGCAAAGCCTATGAAATTCACCTCGTCCTACGCATCTATGGACAGAAGGTGTAATCTATAAAAAGAACAAAAAATTATCCTTTGGGTCCTTTCTTGAGAAAATTTCAAGGCTAAGAATCTCTCAATAATTACAAGCAGGGAGAGAGATCTCCCTTTCATCTTGAGGTAAAAAAAGTAAAAAAAAGTTTTGCAATTTAGAGAAGCCAGATGCTCCTGTAGGGTATGGACTGTGCCTCAAATTCTCTTCCAAAAGCAGTGGTGATCCTTTTCCTTTCACAAGAATTTCTGTCCCCCCAAGCCTCCAGTCCCCTTGTCACCATGATATCATTACTCGTAGGAGTTCCATGTGTTTGGAGGGAAATGGCTGATTAAAAAAAGAGGGTGGGAGGGAGATCAATAGAATCGATTAATAACTCCAGTTGCAACCTAAGACATATAAATAGTCCTTCCCTGCATTTTAAACTGTTTCGTGTAACACTGTCATAGATTAAAAACAAAAAATACTTTCCAAAATGTGGTGGAGTAGTAGGAGCAAGAGTATTTTGCTTGAGTATTATTTTCCCCATATGATGACTATCATCCAAGGACCACACTACAGACTATGATTAATGCGGATGGTGCAGTTCAGGACAGTTTGGCTAAATCATTAAATATGGATCAGGACCAGGTTTGCATGGGTGGGGGAGGTTTAAACCTTCCCTCCAGTCAGTCCTCCCCTCAGATATACCTGCCTCCTCATGCAAAGGCATCATTACCATTACGGCTAATTATGACAAAAACACATTAGCTTCAAGGAGCAGATCTGGTGGGTGGGAACAGCTGGGTGAGAAGATTTAAAAGTGGATTTGGGATGCACATGCTTATTTAAGTGTAAAAAACAAACAAGTGGTTCTTAACTGTCCAATGTGTACAGCATGTAGTATGTAATAGCCCAAATATACCAGTTGCAGTCTGTTTCTGTGTTTTCTATTTTTTAAAACTCCAACAGAGGTTTTGAGAGCAAATCAGATTGAAGAGTAAACATCTCCTGCCCCCCTTTGCTCCCAATATTGTATTCATTGCTACCTCACTCACATACTTTTTATGCTTCGGGGGCTTCTTTACTGAAGAGAAGCCTGATGAATGTAGAGGATGTCTTTGAGAGCTGGAACTGTAAATATATTCACAGGGCTTCCCTTCTAAAAACAAGGCCTAGTAGTGGCTTGTGACTCTAGTTTTGGAGGCACTGTGAACGCACTTCTGGGTCTTAATCTGTACTTTACAGGAGGCATGTGAGATGTTGAAGCTATTTGGACAATAGGATCCAGGACTTGTAAAGTACAGATTAAAATTTGGGCTAGATTTACAGCATCCCTGAAATTGGACACCACCCCCAGCCACTAATGACAAGGCCTCAATATGAAAAGAAACAAACAGGTCTAAAATATACTGTAAAGTAAGGCATTGTTTTTTTTAGTGAGGAAAACACATATCAAAGCCCATCACAGTGCAAAACATGTATTTATGCTATTGAGGCCTTGTACAGTCTGAATAAACATGCCAGGAGAAAGCATATCGTAGTTCCATTTCCATTTATTGCCTTCTGCCCAGAAAGAGCAGCTTTCTGAAAAGGCAGAACTTGAGAAAGTTACATTTTTGGTACTAAGGTCTTTTTTGGGGGGAGGGGGGAGGGATTTGGAATTGTGGTAAACAACATGATTTTTCCCAGCTCTGTGAATATGTCAGTAATATGAAGAGGCTCTCCACACCATAATGAACTCTGGAACATCAGGGTTCCACGTCAGATGGGGAACCATGTCTTCTAAGGGTTGAGGGAAAAAAGACCTTTGTGTACTCCTGACCTTTTAGAACATCAGCTGTGTTGTGTTAACTAGAGATGGGGGTATTTGTATATCAATATGAATATCCTTGTGCAGCTGGACTTAATGAGGGTCTGGCTCCTGGGGCTGGACTGTCCACTCATGTGTCCTGCTGCGGTGCTGATCCCGCTCGTCTTTCTAATTGTGACTAGAGGGCCGCTCTCTTCCTGCTCTACAGCCGTGCAGGGAGATTCGTCCTCCGTCCCCCAGCCTGGAGGGGCCAACCAAGTGGGAAGAGAGTGGCACTCCGGGTGCAATTGGAAAGACAAGTGGGATCAGCGCTGCAGCAGGATGTGTGAGTGGATGGTTCAACCCCAGGGGCCAGACCCTCGTTAAGTCCAGCTGCGTGGGGATATTCATATACAAATACCCCCATCTCTAGTGTTAACCAATTATACCATGTTGTTCGTGTTTTATGACCACTGCTGTTTTGTTGTCATATGGTTTTACAACACTGATTTAAAGAGAAAATACCGAACATGCAGAAAACGATTATTTAAGTAAAACCTGAAATTCTTGATTCCTTGCTTTGGTTTGGCTGTAAGTCTCAGCATGGTTTAGCATGCTAGATACTCTTTAGTTTCTAAGCTTGACAGCAGCTGCTCAGTGTTTTAGTGACTCTGTTAGTTATTCTGAGGATGAGAAAAATGTTTTCTTGAAACCTCAGTTTACCAGGATTCCATACATGCTTCTGAAGTTGACACTTAAGAGAGCTGTTGTCATAACTATTTGTCGCCTTTTGCCATGCCCACAGATCACAAGACATTCCTAAATCCACTGCTGCCCTGACTTGGGAGTCATTCCTGCAATAACATTTGTGCTTTCACATTGGAAAAGAATCCTTTCACATTGCTGGGCCTCTTGGAAACAAACCCCCTATTCTCTCAGCTTCTGCAGGCCTTTCAGAAACCTTAGGTCTTACTTAAGTCTTACCAGAGTAGACACGTTCTAGATGGGCGGTATATAAGTCTAATAAAATAAACTAAATACATAAAGAAAATAAATTACCTGTCATTATCCATCAGCAATGCCAGGCGCCCATAGTCCCAAGCTGCTTTCCGAAGACAGGAAAAGACCAGTAGCAAGAACTACAATGGAAATAAAAGGTCTAATTTTTTATAGATGCTCTTCATGGCATGTAGATCAACCTTGCATTAGGAAGCCCTTCTGCCCTGTTTGTGGCCTCGTATCTCAGCAACAGCAATCCAGTCTTATTCGCTAATACACAATAAACATGATAGTTCTGTACTGGGATTACTATTTTTTCCACACATAGTCATTGGCAGGATGTTATCTCAGCAAACAGGTGTGCTCCAACTTGAGTTTGCTGAGCTTCTAGGAATAAAGGGCACAAAGATAAATGGCACAAGGTGCTTAATCTATCTCACATCTGCCATTTCTCTCGCACAGCACAGAAGATGAATGGGGCCAGAGACAAATTTCCAGTTAACATTATTTATGCACCTGGAGCCAAAGTGCAGAAAAAGCAAAATTAGCAAGGTGGGGGTTGAGGGGGACAAGGAGGAGGAGGAGAAAGAGACAAGCAGCTGCAGAAGGGTAGATATTTTCTGCACACCTGATTCTCCTATAGCTCTACTTCCCCCCAATTTTTTAGAAACAACAGAATCAGAATCCAGTCATACTTCTTCATATCAGAGCAAACTGAACTGTACAACCTGGTGACCCTTACACTAATTTCAGATGTTATCCTTCTACACACAACATGCTGGGTTTTGACTAAGTCAGTTCCAACTCAAAACTGACAATGTAGAAAACTTAGGATGATGGCAAAGTGTGATGACTTTAAAGACATTGTTGAAGTCCCTCATTTTTAAAGAGATGCTAAACTTACTTGCACCTCTGATTATTTTCCTCTTTTTCTCTGGAAAATTTATCACTAAGGTATAATTAAACTGTGCACATGTGGCCTGAGGTATTTTGATGCCAGGGCAGACTGTAAACACAACAATCAACCTGATTTCCCTTATGGAACACCACTAGATATTTTGAACTGTAACTCCCATCTCTCACGAGCTAAGCTTTTAGGAGTTGGAGTTCAAGCTATCTCGGTGGTGTCATCTTGGGTTACTGTGAAACAGTGCTGAAGACGACCTATGCAGTCTCCCATATAAAGCAACCCTTCACAAATAGTAAATCACAGATGGATGCATAGATAACAGACTCCACACAACAGCGATGTGTTCATGGTCAACAGTCATTCTCTCCATCTTGCACAGCTAGAATATTTGGGGGGAAGAAATCGCCAGCAGGGAAATTTCTGTTAAGCATTTTAGCTGTGTGTGTATGTGTGGTGTGTGTGTGTGTGTTTGTGTGTGTAATTGCTCTGGGGAGGAAACAAAAAAGTCTCCTTGTTCATGCACTCCATTTCCTGCTAATTAAGATGAGAAACCTTGGCCAAAATCCTGTTATTTAGCATGGTAAATTGCACTGGAGTAGGCCCCTTTGAATCAATGGGGATTTGGCGAGTCAACTCCTCCATAAGTTCCATTGATTCAAGTGGACCTACACTAACTGTGACTTAATTTGCATAGAAAGTTGCAGTTAAATTAGAGCCATTTCAATTAATGGAACTTCAGAGGAGCTGACTCATTAAATCCCTGCTGATTCAATGGGCCCACCCTACTGCTATTTACTACTACACTAAATAATACAGTTTCAGCCCTTGTTATGTAACTACATGTGTAGTGCAGTGGACTGAGTACTGGATTGGGGCTTGGGAGATTCAGACTCAATACCTTATTCAGTCACAGGGTGATCTTGGCCCAATCATCCTCAGAGTTAGTGCAATCGTACTGCACATGTTTACTGTAAGAATAAAGCAGAGAATCCCAGAGCCATGTACACCACTGTGAGCTCACTGGTAGAAGGGTAGATTATAAATATAATTAATAAAGAAATGTTATGTATCAAGAGAATATCTAATTTGACCCTAATTTCCACTCAGTCTGTTATTTCTTATTTTTTTAAATTCTGTCATTCTCACCTGCATGGGAAGCACTGTAACTGTGGAGTAAGGAATAGATATAGATAACAATGAGGCATTATTTCCTCCCATCTGCACTCACCAACCAGAGAATAAAGTTGAGGGCAAGCACTGTGGGAACACCACCAAACGGCAACCCTTGAAGGACCGAGCTATGGGAGTGGACACTGAAGCACTGCTCTTCTGTGTGGTTGCTCTCGGCATCACCAAATCCAAGGGAACTCAAGAAGATGAGGCTCTCGTCTCCTGATGAAACTTCATCCACAAACATGTTGTCCATCTATGAAGACAATTTTGTCCTAGGGAGTTTTACTTTGTAAAATACCTGGGCAAAGTTAGTGGGGGGAAAAGAGGGAGGGACTGGTTAGACGGAAGTTTAAGGAGATATTCTGGCCAAGAAGGCAGTCACATCTGAGGGACTACCTCTCCCCAAATGAGCTCCCCTTTCACTCATGTGATCAGTTGGATTATGTTTGATGGGAATCAAAGAGAAGATCTTGGAAGTAATTCAAATAATTAAATGAGTTGGTGACAGACAATCTGAACAATTTTTGCCCACTCACCGTTTTGACCCATTCCAGACTGGATTCAGGCCACAGTGAGGTACTGGGATGGCACTGGTCGTGCTGTAGGATGACCTTTTAAGGGTGGTTGACAGGGCAGATGTACCCTGTTGGTACTCCTAGATCTCTCAGCAGCTTTTGATACCGCCGACCACGGTATCCTTCTGGACAGACTCTGAGATTGGGATTGGACGCTTAGCACAGAGCAGGTTCCAATCATTTCTCAAGGACTGTGCCCAGAGAGTTCAGATAGGGGATGAAGTGTCGGCTCCTTGGACCCAGTATACGGATGAAATGCAGATCTCTCTCTCTATTACCACCTCTGCAGTGGAGCACTGCATGCCTAACAGGCTGAAACTGAACCCGGACAAGACAGAGATTTTGTTCCTGAAGAGGCCCTCTGAAAGGTTAGGGAGGGGAAAATCTTCATTAGGCTGGATGGCATTGCCCTCCTGCTTAGGAACCAAGTTCATAATTTGGACATTCTTCTGGACGCAGCTCTTTCTGGGGAATCCCAGATAGCAGCCATGTTCAGATGAGTCCTTAATCAACTTAGGCTAATCACCAGACTCCACCCGTACCTAGATAAGAGCTCCCTCAAGGCCTTGGTGTGGGTGCTGATCATATCCTGGATTGACTACTGCAATTCTTTCTATTTGGGGCTTCCGGCTTTCTTTCAGGTTGATCTGGAGATTACAGCGGGTCCAGAATACGACAGGCAGACTGGTGGTTGGTGCAAGCAAGTCTGGCTGTATTTCCCCTGTTCTGACTCACCTCCACTGGTTACCCGTTGCATCCTGAATCAGGTTCAAGGTTTTGACACTCACATACAAAGCTCTCCACCATTTGGGCCCACGTTACTTGTTCAAGCTTCTTTCCCCAATGTCATCTGCCCAATTCACTTAATCATCATAAGCTAGGCTCTTTTGGGTGGCCTCCCCAAAGGTGGCCTGTAAGTCATCTACTAGGGCCTTCTTTGTGGTGGTCCCAATCTTGTGGAGCCAGCTTCAAGAGGGGTTTCACCTGGTCTCCACCCTGTGGACATTCAGGGGTGCTAGTGAAGACATGGCTTTTCAGGGAGACTTTCCACACTGATCCTAGCTGACTAACTTTTGTCCACCTCTTTTTTTGTTTTATTGCTTTAGTGTCATCTCGTTTTATTGGTTAGTTGCTATACTGGTTTTAAATAGTTTTAGTTTTATCTTGTTTTGTCTATTATTGTAATCCACCCAAAGTAGTGCTTTGGCACTAATGGGGAGTGGTATACAAATTTAAGTAATAAATAAATAAAATAATAAATAAAATAGTACATTGTAAATTGCTTTGTTTGGGGTAGATAACAACCATGTGTTGAAATCACATATCATAGTGAAAGAAAATGAAGTCACTTCACTGGTATAACAAGCAACTTTTTAAAAACAAAAAAAACAAAAAAGCTTTACGGATATTGCAACATTTTGGCCATTTTGATAGAGAATGTTCAATTTTTTTGCTATTTGCTGAGCCACCCTAAAGGTCCTTGCTTCCAAAAGAAAGCAAAGTTACAAGCAAAGCAATATACTGCTTAAAATACCACAATGTGTAACAACAGTGAATTACTTTCCAAACACAATAATGGTCACTGTGAATAAAATGATTTTTAAAAAGGAACTCTTCAAGTTTTTCTTGGTATCACTGCTATATTCCTTTGCAATTGTCTCCTGAAGGAAAGGACATTACAATCACTCCTTAACAACATTTTTACCATTTGTCAAAAGATATTTTTAAAATAAGTAAAATTAAAAAAAAAAGAATACAAAAATGCTGTGGCACCTTAAAAACTAACTGCTATATTTTGCTTGGTATGACAGATTAACATGGCCATCTCTCCTAAAACTTTGAAAGAATGTTTCTGAGTCTGAAGGCTGTCAGAATGCGATTCCTACAGGTTTTATAGATCCTTTAAAATCCTACTACACTTAACATACTGCTATTTTAACTAAGGCTGTACTAATGTTGTTTTGTTTTAGTCAAATGGCTTCATTTTGTCTATGCTACTTTTGCTATTGATGTCTTATTTGTTTTACATTACAAATCACCTTGAACTTTAGGGAAACAGATAATTTTTAAATTGCAATAAAAATAAATGAATTCCAAGGCAGCAGAACATGTTGTCAGGCAGTAACAGCTGGGAGGGGAAATCAAATAGGTCATTAGCTCCCCTGATACTGTAGATATGACAGTCTACACAAAGACACTACAGTATTTGCTAACTGTTGTTATTGCTGTGGAGAGGTATTAGGAACAAAGAGCTTAATGCTATGAAGGAGGAAAGAATGATGTTACTTCTAAAAAAGGGAAACAAAACTATACAAAGATTTCTTCAACAAAGAGATACTGTTGTCCTCCTTCAGTGCTGTCCTCTGAAGATGCCAGCCGCATGCTATTAAGGAGGAAAGAATGATGCTACTTCTGAAAAGGGAAACAGAACTATACAAAGATTTCTTAAACAAAGAGATACTGTAATCAGTCACCTGACTTCAAAAAACCTCAATGACCTAAATAACTGCCAAAGTCTTGCCACAGTCTCCCAATCGCTGTTACTATTATAGTCCATGCAAAGCCACGATTGTCATGGGTTCTGTGACCATAATGCAGACCCCATCTATTTATATCAGTTCGTACTCAAAACTGAAAGCTGGCAAGGTCTGCTTTCACTGAGGCCACAGTGGTCTCCTGGGTGGAACTGGTGAACCGGCTACATAAGAAGCATCAACAAAGAATAAGAACTGAGCTTTAAAAAAAGGTAAAGGGCAGCTAGAGGACCACATGCACCTGCAAAGTTTGCTTTGGTGCTCCTTGACCACATCCATTCCCAAAATGGATGTCCCCCAAATATCCTGATTTCAATGTTTTTTCACCATCTCAAATAATATTTATTTTCCAAAACCACATTTTGACTTCTAGCCACTTGTGGTTTCTTTTCTTTTTTCCTTTTTAAAAAATATATATTTTGGGTGGTCTATGTGCCTTCAAGGATCCTAACACCAGAAAACTGGGCCCTGCACCTGCCACAGTTGATGATCATCATGCTGTATGACAAGGATTTATGTAACCATATATTGGCACTTAAACAACCCTGATTTCCCATTTTCCTTTTTTTATTCATACCTGAGAAAGGGTCATTCCCTGACTTAAGACTCTTTCAGATGCCAGAATCAACCATGGCTGTTTTGATGTTGTCACTCCGAATTACTGCAAAAAACAAAAGAAGCCAATTAATAGATCTGGAGAATGAACCATGCAATTCATCAGCATTTTCAGCTGCATTCTTTGTAAGAAACTAGTGGAACTTGTCTTGCCAGACTTTTCACCATCCCTTGGAAAACAAACATTTGTAGGCAGGAGTGTCCTGCTCAGACCTTAAGACTTTGTGCTTTTTGCCAGCTGCATGTTACAATTACATCATCCACTCATTATTGTTCCCTCCCAGCAGCAGCCAATTGCCATTCATGGCTGACCTTTGTTTCAAATGCCAGTTCAGCCAATCCAAACAGGGCACAACTGGCAGTCAGTGTGAAACACTAAGCGCGAACCCATGGTGAACAGCTCCTGACAGGAGGAGCTCCACAAGTGGAATGAGAGGGTGATTTCCCCCTTTCCACACAGCCCAACAAGATTTTTTCTTCACCTCTATGCCATTTGAAACACCTGGAAGCATCTTGACGATTAGTGGAGCTGAATAAGGATGGTGACTACAACAAACAAAACAGAAAGTGCCACGATTTTATATTCATTCAGGATATGACAGACTCATGAGAGAGTTAAATCATGGCAAGTAATAAAAGATGAAAGGAAAAAAAAAGATAAGCTACGATAGCCATCCTATCATCAATTAATTTCAAGATATAAAGAGGCCACATAAGACAATAGGGGAAGACTAAGGAATTTAACAGAGTTTGAGAGAAAATTTTTACAAAAAACAGCAACTGTTAGGACACATCTATAAATTACTACTTAACTTTGACACAGAAATGGAACCAGTCAAAATCAATATGTTAAAATGGATGCAGAATCTAGGAAAAGTAGTAACTTTACAGCAATGGGAAAGATTATGGACAAAAACCATAAAATTCATGGCATGTCAAAATCTAAGAGAGAATGGTACAAAATGTATTACTGGTGGTACATAACATCAAAAGACATAAAAATATGGATGAAAGTTATACAGATCTCTGCTGCAAGTGTCAGGACAGGAACTTGAAGGCTCATACTACCACATGGGGTGGGCTTGTAAAAAGGCAAAGAAATTCTGGAAAGACATTCATGCTGAAAAGAGGAAAATTCTTGAAGTTAAATTTGAGATGAAACAAGAAACAATGCTCCTGGCAATACCACCAGAAAATCTGGAAAAGTCCACACAAGAACTGTTTAATTATATGTTAACAGCAGCAAGGGCAATAATGGCTAAGAAACAGAGATGGCTATGTCTCTGGAAAACAGAGACACAGCCATCTACAGAATATTGGAGAGAGAAAAATGTTTGAATACGCTACAGTGGCTAAACTTACAAACTCCATAAACAGAAGACATGTCAAAGAATTTGAAAAAAAATGAGAAAATTATTTTTATTACTTAAATAAAAAGGGTGCAGCAATAATGCTGTAAAATACTGGTAAAAGGAAAGACAGATAATAAAAGAGTAAAAATGTGGACTAAGAATAAGATAGAAGTTAGGATGAGCAGAGCATATATTTCAAAAGCTTAGTAAATTTAAAGCATAAAATACAGTGGTGCCTCGCTTAACGATTGCCTCGTTTAGCGATGAATTCGCATAACAATGTGTTTTTTAAGAAACTAATATGCACCGTATAACGATGTTTCCTATGGGCGATTTTCGCTTAGCGAAGTTTGGGACCATGCTTCGCATAACGAATGCGATTTTAGGTCCCCTGCTTCACTTAACGATGTTTCTTTTTTCAATTAAAAAAGTGTCTTAGAAGGGTCAAAAACGGTTCTAAATGCTTGGATTCGTTAGAGGACCCCTTAAGTCATGTGCAAACCTGATTTGGCTTTGATCTGGCTTTTCATTAATTTATGGTGATTTTTTTCCCCCCAACTTTTGACAGCTGTCAAAATCTGACAGCTCCATTATTTCCTATGGGGGAAGAAAAAATTCACAAAAAGTTAACGAAGACTCAGCAACTGTTCTAAATGCTTGGGTTCGTTAGAGGACCCCCTAAGTCGTGTGCAAACCTGATTTGGCTTTGATCTGACTTTTCATTAATTTATGGTGAATTTTTTTTCCGGCCCATAGGAACCAATGGACCTGTCAAAAGTTGGGGGGTAAAAATCACCATAAATTAGCGAAAAGTCAGATCAAAGCCAAATTAACTTTTGCATCTGTTTTAGAGGGTGCAGAAGCTAATCGAAGCATATAAAACCATTTTTGACCCTTTTATGACACACTTAATTTTGCAAAAATTGACTTCGCAAAGCCATTGAAATGTATTGAGTCAGCTTCAATACATTCCAATGGAGGAAACATTGTTTCGCTTAGCGATGTTTCCTATGGGTTTTTTCGCTTAACAACGGCAATCCGTTCCAATTGGAACGGATTAACCGATTTCCAATGTATTCCTGTGGGAAATGGTGTTTCACATAGCGATGGTTTCACATAGTGATGGTTTTTTTGGAACGAATTAACATCGCTATGCGAGGCACCACTGTAGTATGTTTAGTATAAAATGTAGAGTATAAGTCATGTATACGTACAAATATCAGGTGTCCATGATATGCAAGAATTGCATGTAAACACATTTCTGCTTTCATTATTTAATAATAATAAAAAAGGTGGGTGAAACACTCCTTCCCTGCTTTATGTCAGAGGATATACATTGATGGATCTAGGCTATTACAACAGGTTTCTCTAAACTAGTACTATATATCTCTCTAGTTGAAAGAGGCTTTTATTTCCTGAGAAAAGGGCTGCTGTTCCAAGCATCCTTCTTGGAAATAAACTCATTTTAAAGAGGCTAACATTCTAGGAGAGAGATTGTGATTTCTATCCTTTGGCTTGAGGGGAAAAATGAGGTATCTTGCAGTGGAATTTCCTGTGTAGATTGTGACCTCTCTATTTGGTACATTACTCTTTTTTATTGTTTGAGTACACTCTTCATGCCCTGATCAAAAATAGCAGAAACAAGCATAAATTCTGCAAGTCGACCTCCCTTACTGTGTCATGCAACCAGAGGCAGTAATGATTTTACAGTTACTCTCTTCCAAGTCATTGAAACCTTATCAGAAGGTCTCATGGACCACACAATTATCAACCTACTCTGCACTGCACAGGGCCATTGTTTCAGATGTTCCAGGTCTCTTCTATCCTGGCTTCACTGTCCAAAGCAATCAGATAGCCTTCAAGAAAACTGAGGAACAGCTGACAAGTTTCACCAATACAATCTTCCAGACCGACAACATATACTAATGCTACGAGGCTGTCTACACAATGGTGTTGTTCCTGGTCATTCCTGTTTTTTCTTGTTTCTGATTTGAACTGTTTGGAATTGATCATCCAAGTATCTTTATACAGATTTTTAAGGGAAATTGATGTCGGATACACTGGTACACCTGTCAATACACATCTCAAATGGCCCCTGTCATTATGACCCTTATTAACCCCCCCTTGCCTGTTATCTCTGCCTGAACTCTACCCATTTCAAGCTCCTCTCTTATTTCATCTGCCTGTCATCTCACCACAGAACTATTTTTTTATTTTTACATTTTTACACCATGTGAAAGCTCTCCAGATTTGATCTGATTACCTAGTTCACTGCATCGACTTCCACTTTTATTCTACACCCCCCCCATTTTTCTTCTTCAGCCCTACAGTAATTGACTGGCGTGTGAGATTTCCCTTGTGATCAACATTATCATTCTTGCTGCTGGCTTTTCCCCAAATAATACTCTACTGCTAATTCTACTCAGGTGTTTGTTTCATACACGGAATGCTTTGTGTTTTATTAAAAATGTAATTGTCACTGTCCATCTCTGTTATTATTGTGGGAGAAATTGGATAAGGGATTTTGCAGGGGGGGGGGAGACCATTGTGTTTGATCTTTCCTGCCACCTCAGCGCTTCCTTCTACCAGTCCTCCATGCTCACAAAAAAAAAAAAACATTTACGAGATGATACTATTACAAAGCATTTATTCATATTTTAAAAAATAAGGAACAAATGTGCAACATTTCAATATTCTGAAACACTAGTCCTGGCCTTATAAGACACCTATGTGCCTCAAGTCTATAACATGTTCAAAATGGGGGTGGGGGGCAGGTCAGAGGACATCCTAGTGCTGTTACATATAGATAAACGTTCCCATTTCAGAATAATACCAAATTAAAATGGGAAACTGTAAAAAGGAAAATGGAAGAAGGAATGGTGGGGAGGAGGATTGTTATATGGAATGCAAGCAGGTAGGAAAAGTGCTGCACCATGGAGGGATAGAGAAGTGACAACTAGAGATACATCTGCAAGGAACCATCACCTCACAAGGTGTACCTACAGACAACACAGATCAACATGGCATTAGAGTCCACACAACCAGATTGCATAACAGTGCTGATTGAAGCAACATGGAACAACCACCACCACCACTTGGGTGTGGTGTTTAAAAAGGCCCATAAAGTGAGATTTTGTCCTCCTTTGACACTCTTGATACCAGTTTATACATGGTGCCATGTGGACACCAGGAAAAGTACCACTATCTTGGTAGCTAAGAAAGTTGAATAAGTGTTCATTGAGACAATACCTGTGACTTCTGTTCTTTTTATCTATTCAGAAGAAACTCCCGCTGAATTCAATGAGTGTTACTCCCAGGTAACTATGTATAGGACAGACATGTACTTAGGTTTCCTGCCTAAGTACTGTATACTGATTTGAATCGTTTAATAATTTGTTCTGTTGAGCTCGCATTTTTTTTTAAAAAAGCAAAACTGTTGTGACTAAAAAGAGGCCATGTTCATTTTGTTTTATTTTTATCCCTTTTTCCAAGTCTCACAACACACTATAGTCTCAGTGTGAACAATATTGAAGTGAAGAATCATCACCTGAACACATGGTTCTCAAGGGAAATCTGCCCTTATAAATCCTCCAGCATTTCTTCACTTATCAACCCTGCAAGAGACATACTGTATACAGTACATCTCAAATCAGGCCTCCTGAAACCAGTCCTAGCCACCAGCATCCTACTCTGT